AAAGAGTGCATGTGCCGCGGCATGAAGGAGTGTCGCGGCGTGCTGCTGGGATGTGCCGCGGCGCGACGGGTGAAAGCAGGGCCGGCTTTTGGGCCATCCAAACAAGGCTCCAGCCTAGGGCCTCCAATTTTTTGGGGCATTATAAATTATATGTTTGTGTTGGGCTTGGCCCAATTCATTACATAAATTTAAAAGGTTTTTACTCCTCTGCTATGGTGACTCTGTCCGATACTTACACTCACCTCACAAAATCAAACCGACAAACCCTAATTTTGCAAATTCTGCCGTGGATTTTAGTTGCTTGACGGCCAAAGCCATCTGCCCTCACCACAGCCGACTCACATGTCTCATCGCTGTTGATCTTCTCAATCAATTCGTACGAACTTCTTCTATTTTCTAAATATTTTCCCTGTTTCTGTGTCTCTGTATGTTGAATTTAAAATTGACATGAATTTGGAAAAATCAAGCGGCTTATGATGATTCGAGAAAGACGATAGACTATTTGAGTTTGGAAATTTATTGCAGTTTGTTAAATTTGTGGGGATTATTGAAAAGGAGGGTAGGTTATGTTTGGTTCGTATATATTATATCAATTTCTTTTGCTTTAAGTTTAACCTTTTCAATTGTGGTATGGTCACCTTAATTAGCATATAATTGTTTGAAGTACTCAGCAACATTGATAACAGAATTCTGATTATTTGTTCCACATGAATTGTGGGCATGTGGCACAAGTTATATTTTATTATTATTATTATTATTATTATTATTATTATTATTATTATTATTATTATTTATGTTTTCCTAGATTGATATATGTAGTTAATTTTGTTATTATTATTAAATTAGAGGATGATTAGATTTGTTAGTATTGTAAATAAATCTATTAGTTGTCCAACTTGTGTTTTTTATAAGTATTTGACTGTATTTTTTTCTTAATTAGTATCGTAAATAAATTTAGTCATTTATGTGACCAGGTTTGCTAGAAGAGTTATGACAGGCAAACGCAGATTCGAATCGGGAAGTTCGAAAAGGAAAAAGAAAGAAAAGCAAGAGATATTAACAAAATCTCTCGTCGGCTCTATGGATAGGTACGTAAAATCTATAACTCTTGTGGTAGAAGTTGAAGTGTCTAGGGATATTAACAAAATCTCTCGCCGGTTCTATGAAAAGGAAGAGATATTGTTTGTTCAATTGAAAATATTGGAAATATAAAAATACAATTACGGGCCTCTCTTGAAAAAATTGTCTAGGACCTCCAAATTTTTGGAGACGGCCCTGGGTGAAAGTGCCACGGCGCGGAAGTGTAGTGCGGCGCGAGGAGCAGAAAGTTGGGGTCTCTGTCGGCCTTGTGGAAACAGCACGGCGCGACGTGCGCGTGAGGCTCGTTCTTGCCACGGCGCAAGGGTCTTCGCGGGGCAGGGCTTGCTGCTAGCTTCGGTGCACGTTTTCACGTCTCCGGCCCGTTTGAACTCATCATTTAGCCTCGGAATTTGATTCCGCTTTTTCTTGTGTGTTACAAACGAACTCCCATATTTAATTATGCTTGCCCGACTAATTTTTGCCTGAAATCCGGTTCTCCCGAGGCCTTCGACCTGCATATCAAAAATGAAAGAAAACTGGAAAAATACACGAAAAACACAAAGAAAACCACAATAGCGCGAAACACACAAAAAACACTAAAACGAGCTAAAAAACCGACGAAAATACCTAACATGAGAGAAAAAGAAAGACAAAATAACAACGAAAAATGCAACAAAAATGAGACAAACACTACCAGACACCCAGAATAATCACGATAATATGGGAAAACAAATGGCATTATGCCACTATTGTAAGGGCCCATGTACTTAGCAACAAACTGAAACACTTGTGAAAAAACAAGGAAAACAGAGCACTAAAAATTATTAAGAAAATAATTTAGATCACAAATGAAAAAAAAAAATCTAAAATGTAATGTGCTCTCGCAAATGAGTTGAACTCAAACCTCTTGAGACTGTGCAAGCAGTTCACTAAAACAAGCGATGAAAAAAGAAAAAAGAGAAAAGCAACTAAATAAAGAATCCCCAATTATCCAATCGACGTCAACTTCCTCTTCAATTTTTCAGAGATTACCCGACCATAAATATCAAGAAGAGCACTAAGTGTTTCAAGCCAAAGTGTTACCACTTCTGAGTGTGAGCTCGAGGTCATCCATTTCCACCTCGTGAATCCTGACCGCCTCCCACGGCTTGACTGCCTCTATCCAAAGTATGCCCCCTTTCCCTTGCAGCGAGCCTTCTTTCCGAGCTGCCACGGGCCTCATGAGGTTGAACGTGGGTGAGGTCGGGCCACGTGCTACGCTTGGAAATCAATCCACCTGCCTGAGTCCAAGGTGAAAGTGTCGGACTCATAACACTCGGGGATGATAGCGGGCTTGAACCCGAGGTGGGCCCGAGCTGAGCTGGCGAAGTTAAAGGTTATCATCTTGGCAAGGTCTCGGGTGGGGGAACAGAGGGGAGGGGCCATGAGGTAACTGTTCGAAATCCAAAGAGGGGGCAGGGATGAAGAGATTGAGTTAAGAATGAATGCAAAAGGGTGGGCTGAAGGAGGTTCAGAGGGCCCGTTGTGGCGGGCCAGACCGGGCTGGGGAAGGAGGAGGACGGTTTGGGCTGGAAAGAGGGGACATGGCTTGCAAAGTAGAAGAAAGGCGGGCCTCGGGCTACGGGATGTGATGTAGGTGGAGGTTCCCCCGATTTCCATTAGGGTAGTTGTCATAGTGGTTAGATACTTAGGTCCGTAACAGTAGGCCTGCATTCATGCGTGTCATTTGGGATCTGAAGTTTTTAATCGTATTAAAACATTGGAACGTGTGTTTGTGTGTGTTTTATATGGATAATGTAAACTTAACTAGTGGTTTAGGGTGTGATTATATATAAATTCAATAGTAAGAAATCTAATCAAAATTCAAATTTAACTCTACCCTACTATCTTCAATATTAATAATATAATTAAAAAATATCAACCAATTATTTTTACACATCACATCAACTTTAATTCACTATTCATCCACTCACATAATTCTAACTAACTATCACTTCCAATCATTTTTCTCATACTTTACATCAAATCAACTTTAATTATTT